GGCAAGCATTTTACAAGACTCCAGAGAACACATAGTTGGCACATGCAAACAATCAGATGACATGATACAAATGACCACAGAATTGAAGAGACTGCCCTCTTTTCGGAGACCTGCAATTTTTAGAGGCGTTGGGTTTACACTAAAATCATTTCTATTTTCATCATATTTCGATTAGACAGAATGCATCCAAGCTGTAGATCGTTGTGAGTTTGTATGTGCGTATGTGCATATGTACATATGTGTGTTTGTGTGTATGTATGTGTGTGTGGTGCGTGCGTGAGTGAATATGTGTTTGCACGAGTATGTAACACTATGTACCTTTAAAATTGATTTGTAAATCCATAATATGTATCATGTTAAGCGCATAGAGCATTACATAAGTGGATGTGCGATATATAAATGCAATCCATTATTATTATTATTATTATTATTATTATTATTATTACTACACAGAGAAATCGTCGTTATTCATTGATAGCAGAAAATACTTTCCGTTGCAACATGATACAAGAACCTTTTTAAACACATTTTCATGTCTTGTGCACCAGTTTTGTAAATATTTATCAGTGTTAAGAAGTTATTAGCCATTGAAGTATCTTGTGTTTGTTGTTTCGACTAACTATAAATAGACAGATATTTTAGGAGCAACTCCAAAAACGGAAGCAGCCATGGTTTTGCTTCTTCGGACCAATTCAGAAGTTTAGTTGCTTTCCCTTAAGAGCAGACTTGTGTGAACGTGCGATATTGTTTGTTTGTGTAAGCCAATAAAATATGTGTTGAAAATTCATATTACCGACTGCCTTCACAGGTAGTGTCACCCCCCCCCCCCCCCCCCCCCCCCCGGTCGTGCCTGGCTGGAGTGTCTTAAGGCCATTCCCAAAGGGGGGACATTAACCACTTGAGTTCTTTTGCACAGCAGAGTTGTTATTATTGTAAACGGGCTGATTCACCAATGTCATGCTGATAACTTTGCCTGAACTGCAGCAGGGAACTGCTGCTTTTTCTTTCTTAATCCTCACTATCGTCATTTTTCCTCTGCTTATTTTGTGTGTGTGACCCGCTTTTTCCGGGGTGCCTTGATAGTCGAAGCAGACTTTGTTTTGTTGAAGCTAGAGAGGTGAGCCGAGTAAGTCTGATTACCTCTAAGGACTTCTCTGATGACATCCACCCCTTGGCGCTCATATGACCTTATGCAGTAACGAGCGCCGTAAAACCTCTAATAAAACAAGCAGGTAGCACGCTTGGTTGAGTTAGTGACCTCTGTATGACCCGGCCTCTCCGTCGCCGAGCCAACTAAAAGAGCGGTGTTTGTACGCCATGGGCCTATGAGTCGGAGTTTAGTTCGTTTTTTTTTTAAATCAAAAGAAACAGACGGAACAACAGAACGTGTCATTGTTTAAAGCTATTGATCCTGATTGTGCACCATATAAGTATCACTTCGCTCTGCCGCACGTTCCAGTTAATACAATGTACACGACATGATGTAGTTTCAAATTCCCAAGAATGATCCCTTGTTTGTTTTTTACATTCTCTCACTGGCCTGGGTAGTCTCCCACTACTCAGAAGCAGGAAATTCGAACAAACGACTTGTCAATTGTCGAGCTAATGTTTGCCTTAAGACTATAGCGATTAGCGACTACAATTCACTACAGTTCGCTATGCTTTAATTAAGACCAAATCCTGGTATTGGCGCTATTATGCTTTTTCCAAGGGGCAAAGTGACACTGAGGGTCTATAGGGGCCCTGTGCACAGAGAAGAGAGAACGTGTTGTATTGACGTACAGTCTCAGAAACGGATTGGGTTATTTTCCCCTTGCGTTATATTCCAAGAGGATGGGATTGGGTTTGGGTGGCCGATATAATAAGCTGTCGTAACAAGCCATATTTTTGCCGATTTGCTAGCGAAAATGCTTTGCCGACCGACTCGCCGTAGATTCACGGAGGGACAATGGTCGAGTGTACAAAATGACAAAATGCGCGATCTGGAAGGTTTCTCATACAACTTATTGCCGAGAATTACCATAAAAATTATATGCGAGAAGATAGGCAAATTCGAGGTCTTTGCTACAGTATACGAATATAAGCCTCCCTCCCTCCCTCCCCCCTC